AGATTGTAACACAAAAAAGATATCCTTCGAGCCGGATTCCAAACAGCGACCTAGGGATAACAACATTGCTGCTACAGACCACAACTACAATTAATAGAACATTATACATGAAAGTACTAAAGGACAAAATTGATAAAGACACAGTTCCCCGCTTTACCGACTAAGCTTTTGAAGGAACTTCCATTAGGGATGGACCATTTGATTTTTGTAGGGGGAATGTAATGAAGCGAATTGTCTTCGGCTATAAYKTCAACCACCACCCGCTGAATCCWTTTTGAAAGTGGTATGTAGAGAGGATTTCGTATGACTGTGCAAAAAACAGGGATATTTCTTGATAGATCACTATTTTCATGGCGTCACTCCCAGGCAAGGTCCCGTGCCCGTRCCTGGTCGTCTCTGTACCTTTGTCGTATTCCTTATGATTAGTAGAAATCTGTGACAAGTCTATCATCGATGTGTCTTTCAAATTTTATCGAACAAATTAAGGTGATGAGGGCTAATGATTTTTACAGACCATCGTCAAAGGGGTCGCATGCGTCTTTACTGGCGCCTATTGCCTGTTTTATCGTGATCGCTATCAATTAATTTGGGTCACCATGAAAAACGATTTTAAAAATGACAAGAATGTCAGATAACTGACGGTGCTGTAGAACAGCGAAAKCTCGACTTCATAAAGTGTATTTACCATCTAACAGCAGTATCTGGCCGCATTCGATATATTATTACATTCTGTCGAAGTTCGACTACGATTCCACAGCGCATGGCTGAAAAGTGTTCTTTCTYTTGGTTTCGTTAGGTATAGTCAATGATTTTAAAATCGACGATTTTAGTAGACGACGTAGTAAGTACCTTATTCGTACTGATTTGCCGCGATTTGTAGTTTCGCTGCGATTTGTAAAAAAACACGAAACTTAGTTAGCAAAAACGCGAGAACTAATTCCCAGGAAATATGCCAGTCCTGATTTCGCAACTGAACTACAGTAAGTGCACGCGACAATTCGAGTACAGCGAATAATGTATTGTAAARTATTGTTTACCAGTTAAACACCCACAATACCTTTCGGTCGTGTTTACCTGTCTGTCAACTCTGACTTCAGGTATACGTGATCTTGTCGATCTCAAGTGGCATTTAGACGAAGTAGTAAATTTCCCACGCTATCGACTTTATGGGCTTCCTGTGTTTGTTTTTGTTAGTCTRGGTTCAAATGGTATTAAAGTTAATCTTAGTCGACTAATCTTCTTTCGTTGTTTTACTTCGGTGTTTTGTAACGTGAGATTATGAATAATGCACATAAAAAGACGACGGATAAACTATACTGTATTTATCTTTACACACTGTGTASACTAGACGTTGCCAGCTGGGACGTAGCGCCCTGGTGTCGAGTCAAATATTTTGTTTGGCTCCACTGCAAAATAGTATCGGAATCGCCTAAATACGTTTCAAGAGATGAAYCAGGCAATGGATAAATACAGTAAACTCTTGATCGGATTGCCTTTTCACGGATAGCTCATCAACCATTCATAAACTATCAGGTAGTGGAAAACTACCTAACATCACTGTGAAGAATGGCCTAAAATTAGTATATTTGCCAAGTTTAAACATAATCTGTTGAAAATTAGAGAAGCTGCAGCACTTCAAAATCCCAAAATTCACAAAGCCAATGCACGTCGACGGGCGGATTTTAAAAACTTTGCCAAACTCGTTTGTTCGAYTCGTCCTGTTTCAATGTCAGTCACCACTATCATCATCAATTAGTTTCATCATCATCATCATCTTTATTGTTTTGATGTTGATTATTTTCATTGAAATGAAATGACCGGCTTGATTCAATATGGAAACGTAAGCAAAAAGGACAAAAAGGACATTTCTTTACAGCAACACTTCGACTGAAGACTCCCTTCAAAGACTGTGAAGCAGTCGAAACGTTGCGTTTCTTCGACTCCTGGTTTCCATTATGATAATAATGATGATTCATGAYTTTAATCATCATCATCATTAYTAATTGTGACTTCACACAGAAAGCATCTATTTACAACAAAGTCTTACGCGCAGTATGTTTACCACTGTCTCGTTACCCGAGCATAACATTCTTACCTCAATACAAACAATGGGACGAAACTTAGATTCAATATCAAAAGAATAGTTAAATTGTGTAAGTTGTATTGCAACTGCGAAAAAGCAGCATGAGATCCCTGATGTTATTATTCTGAAATATTCGATATTTAATTAACAAAAATATATGTCATAATTTTGTTCTTTGTCAGCATATGGYTGAATTAAACATTTTCTTAGCTTTATGAAAATCAGTATTCTGCCACTATGTTGCCGAGGCTGCTATTATCAAGGAAAATTAAAGCCGAAAATTTGCATTCTTTTCAAAATCAAACTGCAGACTTTTCTAAATTATTGGCATCTCTGCATTACAACCATTCTCTTGCGACTCTTGGGCTTTAGAAGTTCTTTCATAGTAAAATTTTGCGTGAGTTCAAATTGATGAAACCTGGATAGATTATAATTTTATCATGACATGTTGAGTGATAGCAATACTGTTTTTAATATACCACTTGAACATGCTTGAATTATCACGAAAGTTTGCCTCGTTTGCACATTTGTAACATTTTTAAAAACTTTTTTGCAATGTTTGAATTTACCAGAAGCTGAAACCTTACGACTTATCCAAAAAAATCCAAAAAACTCTAATTTCTATCAAAGCGTTTTGATCTATTTTTCAAAAAGAACAAAATACTTCATGCAAAACACCGATATCAAAAATGCTGAAATCTGCAGTGAATATAGTTGTAAAGTTGGAAAAATATATTATCTCGTCTCCGGCCCTAAGGTATGAATCGAATTCCAAACTTATATTGTCATCAGAGATAAATCTTTTGTTCGCTTTTAGTGAACAAAAACTAATAAAATAAATGCATTTATACTTCGAATAAAAAGAATTTATTCATAACACTTGCATACTTCGAAAGTGAACGTTGTGGAACCTTCAAATTTTCATTGATAATGAACTTGAACTTTCTCKGTATCGATCGATCGAGAAATTCGTGGGAGTACGGGAGGTGACTTTTAAGCATTTTTGAAAGCGCCSCTCAAAACGTTAAGATCGCTGAGGCCCGGCAGCTTAACATGTCTTGAAAAGTTACGTGACATGAGCTATATAATGATATCGTAGTACTGGGCGTAAATTGAYGTTTAGTCGTGATAGCTGATGTCTGCGAAACATGAATTTGAATCAAARCCGTCACAAATCATAACAAATGAAAATCACGCACTCCATTCAGCTTGAAATGCGAGCCTGAATCTGCAAAATTTAAAACGCGTAATATTTACTGTATRGAGCCCCCTTAACGCCATAAATTTTCAAAACAAACCAAGCTACAATTGCTGTTGAGTCTCACAAACTTAAAGGCTTAAAACTAATATCCAAAACATAGTTCTTTTCGATATGCAAATCATTTAAATAATGCCAAATATTTGCAATAGTTTTCAAAATACCTAATATCAATAGGTATGAATATGGCGGTACGGATCATTGACCTGGCCAATAGAAACACGGAATCAGGACTCATTAAATTGACAACTAATGTTCCCTCAATTCAATGGTCTTCGCTCGGTATTTCTCACTAGAGTCTTTGGACAATTCATGAATTCGCCGTTCCCAAGCCACAGAAGGACGCTACGGCAACTATGATCAAGAAGATTTAATAATTTTCAGCGCCAAGACGAAGAGAATGAATTCCGAGCTCTTATACACTATATTTTTTCTTGTCGCATATTTTTCTCCCGTCGTCGAGGCTGCGTGCACAGCCGAGATTCTTATATCTGTGTTCTCAGTGCTTGCTGGGTTTTTGCTGATTGCAATAGTAGCATTCTCGATTTGGTTCTGCTGTTGYAGAGAAAAAAGTAAGTTTTCTATCAATTCCTGTAATTGAATTTCAATTAGTTTCCATCGAAATGTATTTTAAAGTTTCTCGTTAACAAACTCAACTATTTGATTCGGCAGATAAACAAAGACGGCCCCATTATGATGTTGAACTTCAAGAAGATGGAAAAAACGTCCACGTTGGACCTGACGGGGTKATTAAATGCCCTTACTGTGAAAAACACTTTGCCATAGAAACTGCAGGTAGGGAACTTTGAATATATCGAACAAATTAATAATATTTGTGATCATTTTTCATCTAAATGCCTGAGGTCACACAACAGAAGATCATTCCAGAACGCAATTTGTAACTTGTACTAGTATAAACTCTTAGTGGCAATTTATGGGATTTTKATGTTTATTCTGTTTTTTCAAAGCAAATATTTACATGTTTGGCGATTTGACATATGTATCCCTAAACTCCTATGTTGTGTTGACTTTTTGAGKCTAAAATTGGATCGTTCCGGACCGAAAATTACTTGAGCATCCACCCATCACAWCATACTATGCTATGAGACTTAAAATTAGGTATAAAACCCTAACTGTAAAATTGTCTTTCTTATGAGCAAAATTTACTGTAATTAACACCCAATAATTCCACATATCTTTAATTCAAATCCATCGACCAAGCGAATCTCAAATTCCTTTCTTCAGAAGCCTATATCTTTCAACCCAAGGTCATCTTAAAATCTTTGCGCAAATTTTATTCTTTTGAAYTGTTAGTGATCTTCTCAATCTGCCCATCCACGCTGCAAGACTAACACACTAACGTTGCTACGCCACCGACTGTTTTTAATAAGCTGTTTCATCGAGAAAGAGCGCTCTCTTTACATAACTCGTTCCAGAGTCTGATTTTTCCAATATAGTAAAATAATCGAATTTCAAAATTTAGTAAAAAGTTTCAAAGATTGTCAGTCTGTCCAGACGAAGTTTTTAAGCATAGTATTTTGGCTTCTTTGAGATGTTTAGAGTAGTAAAACGGCAATTATGATAAAAACAATAGGACGGATTAGTATGAATTGTAAAACTTTACTAATTCCTCTTCATTCTCAATTAAAACCTTTCAGAGACACTAAGTACGATTTGTGCTAACCAAAACTCCATTTAATTTACTTTAATTTTCTTTTTTCTTTTATGAATATTGCTTGGTTTTTATATTTACTAGCAAAATATTTTGGAATAGTTTGCATTGATAACGGACAACAGCGTTTGTTTAATCTACCCGTGAACAGGGAGCTGTCAACAAGTTGTTTTGCATTTCAAATATCGCATAACAAACAAAACCAGCTTTTCTGAATCACAAAAGAGAACTAGATTTATTGCATGTTGTTCTTAAACTCCAAAAATAAGTCAGTTTTTATCCAGAAACTCTCATAATTTTCACGGCACGCTCAGGAATGTAAACAAGTAACTAAAACCGTAATAAAAACGGAAGTTGATTTTCAAGCTTCTTGTGCAAAATGTCTGCCAGCTTGACAAGTTTAACAGCTTCTTTGCGGTTATAAAAACGTTATTAATTCGAAATATTTGACCTTTTTACCTTCTGAACAAATRCATTACACACAAATATCTTGATAACACATGTAAACATGAAAAAATCGTTTTAAAACGGGACATGTTCTCGCAATTACTTGCAGATTATTATTGTGTTGGAGGCACAAAGTTCTTAAAAAATGATATATTATTTGTTTATCTCAAGTCAGCTTGAAGCGGACGCCCCATTGTCGAGATGGAAAGCTCTAGTATAGCGTGTATATGTAAAAGGCGACTGCAGAAGTTACAAGTGAAATAAAAAAATGTGAAAATTGTGATTCTTGTCGGACGAACAGGACGAAAAGGCTGCCCGCATTCTTTATGTTTGCTATCATAAAGAACAAAAAACATTTCTTAATGTTTATTTATGATCAAATCACAGTTTACCTTTTATATTAGTTTAATTAATAATCAGTAACTTATTATGTTTTCCACTATACATATACTGAATACAACATTTACTAAAAATTTTCTTACCTTTTGACTAGAAACATTATTTATGCGGCATCACTCATTTGTTTATAATTGATACAATGTTTTGTTTATAACCTGTTATGTTGGTATTACTTTATATAGTTTTTATTCAGTTTTAGCAAGTAGTAAGTTGTTTACATCATAAAAACAAACGCAATCCTAACCCTTACGGTGAAAAAAGCCAATGCTTGTCGAAACATTGTCGAAACAAGTATAATCTTCAAAAAGCTAAAGCATAGTTTATAGCGGGGAATTTAAGTCGCCTCTACTAACTATGTATACAGTTACTTTCGGTTTCGCAAATTCCAATCTTTTTATCTGACATTAACCTCCGAAACTATGCCTGATTTTCAATAGAAAAGACAAAACGGGATATATGTTCTAACGCATTTGCTGCGCGGTTATCCAAGTGGAACAGCCATGTTATCTTGACCATAGAAGAGTTTCCCTAAAAACCTTCTGCACGGTATATATTACCAATAAAATTATGACCAATCTTCTCAATGATTGTTGGAGCTCGCATATGTCAAGTATATGTTTCATTGCTTAATCCGTCTTTCCAGATAATAAATCATACTGAGAAATTTCAATTCGACAAGTAAGCACTTTTTGCTTGACAGCCATTTTTGTTTTCTTTAGTAAAAACATAGATGATATAGTGCCTTAGTCCAAACTGTTTAAATTAAAAGCTATACATACATGCATACCTTGAATATTGCACTTCATTCATCCACAACGTTCAACAAAAGATTGCACAATCCTTCACACTAATCAAACAGAAGATCTGTATTGTATTCGTTCCATGCTTAAAAATATAAAACTTCCTTGAATCTTCATGACCCAAAAACTTCCTTACTACCAATAATATATAAAATGAAGCCGAATACTTTTTATTTCGAATTATATCTTCCCTATTTCCACATGTGATACAGTGAAAAAGAATTTTAAGAATTTACTAAACACTTTTGAAAACATAGTTTTAATATTTCCATTGTCTAATCATGCCCAGTTTGAGATCGACTGACGGTCATTTGAGTGGAATTCAAAAACACTAAAGAACAGTGTTTTCTATAAATGTCAGAAGTTCCCAGTTCTCGTGCGCAGTTAAGTTGTTAAAAGCATGTCCATTCGCGTGTCCCTACTCTTGAAATCGTCCGTGCGTTTCATATTTGTCCTCTATGCGACCAATAACAGAGAAAGCTTTTGGATCGAATTTTCTCGAACACGCAAAGATCGTTTTGCCGTTTAATATAATCACCATGACTACGGCAAATCTTGGAATTCTGATTGGCTTTGCTGTTGAGGTATCTTTCTTTTACCTCTAAAGCAAAGCAGACCTAAAAAAAACAGAACAATTGCTTCTTCTTTGGAATGTTTTGTTTTTATTTAGCTCATATATTTTTCTCCATTTAATAAGTATTAATGGGATACTAAATCAATTAGTCTTTGCGGCAACTTTAAATTTAGTTGTAGTACTTTCGGATCCGAGCGAGGTCTTCACTAAAATAACAGAGTCATGTTCCGATCTTAATACCGTGGTGAACAAGAAGGCATATAGAAAACGATGCCAACACAGTGAAAAACGTTTAATTGATAAACAAGGCAACAGGAAATGAATTACCGCTGCTCAGTAATGCTGTTTCATTAATTAAATGATTGTGTTTTAATTTAGTATTTTGACTTTTGTTATTTTATATCAAGCATGTATGTAGGCTATGAATAAGCTATATGAAATTAATTTTATGGTCGAAAACACAATCGCAGTGATCCACCTTTCTAACCGCTGTCCAACTTCAACAGTCGATCTCATTCCTGTAGTAAAAGGATCATTGCCGGATTTCAAACCGAGTGGGGACTGGGAAAAATCCCCTAATGGGATAATCACGAGATAACACTTACATAGAAAGAAAGCCCTTGTTGAGAAATGCAAAATTCCAAAATCTGGCGTCAATCAGTCCAATAATGAACGAGTTACGGATTTCAAATATTTTCAAATTTCCAAAGAAATGTATGGGAAGCCGCGGATGTGTACGAATTTTGCCCATTTTCCCGACACATACGCGAGATCTCCTACATTTCTTTGGAAATTTTAGAATATTTGAGAGGCTGTAACTCGTTCTTTATCGAACTGATTTACATCAAATTTTGTTTTTTTTTATTTTTCAACAAGGTCTTTCTTTCTATATAAGTCTTATGTCATTATTATTTTGCCCAGTCCCCCACGGTTTGAAATCGGGCAATGGCCGATAGAAATCTTACCACTGATTGAAGATTATCAAATTAATGAGTATTATTGTCAAAATAAGATTCATGGCGGCGCCTCTCAGTGCATGTTATCCTCACTATAAACGTTTTTTCGCCTCGTCTTCTCGGAAAAGGGCGTAAAGCCGGAGGTCCCGTCTCTTTAYACTTCTCATTAGCAGCAGAGGGACGTTAAAGAACCCACATCACTATTCGGTTAAAAGTAGGGCACGGAGTTCCCGGTGGTGTGGCCAGGGCTCAGCTCACCAGCATTGAGGTCGGCTTAGCGGATTGTTCGTATAAAGCTTGCTAGTCAACGAGACCTTATACAAATATACAGCTAGTAATCCTATGAACAGTGCTGAGTTCTGGAACTATGTAGATGTAAATATATAGTATTGTACAAGTAGATGGCGTTATCGATATCAATATAAAGAACGTACCACTTTCACCGTTTCACAAGATATGAAATCTGATGATCTGCTGTAGAGATCGACACTCATTTCATCTTTTACTAAACTAATTCAATAATCAATCCATGCTAGTACTTTCTTACCAATATACACCATTTAAATTTCATTTCAGGCAACAATGGAGTTAACCTATCTGGACCTGCTTTTGCAGCCGACGGTCGAGAAATGGCCATTGACGTGCCAAATAACAACAAACGGGGAACACCCGATGGTAGATGGTCAGCGGAAGGTAGCGTGCATGGACCTAACGTAAGGCAACCCACAGGTCCTGGGGCGAGTCTCTCTGCTAACGCCAAAAATTCAAAAGATGTGCCATATATTGTTGGGGTAAGTTTTTTCAGGACTACAGCAAAGTATACGTTTCACTGCCTGTCTAAGAAAGCACCTTAGAAACAAGCGTCTAGCGCTAATTTCGTTTTCAGGGCAAATTCCCTTCGTTTCTGAAAGRAGATTGACAAAAAGGATGAGGTGCACAGATATAACTAATATAATTTTGTTTGAAAACGACAATTCTCTTTATGCGATCAATTAATAATTCTTGCTGCATCAAAGTAGTCTTTTGTAGCAACTTGCAAAATTGCAGGAGATGAACAATCAACTTATCAAGATTACGGCCGAAAATCCTGGTGTGCCAGTCTGCAAAAATTAAGTTCTTCTCAACTTTGCGGTCGAGACAAATCCTGTTGATGTGGATTTGTTTATGATATAGGAAAACTTAGGTTGATTAAGATGTTATTTGGTTTTCAGCCAACGGTTGACACGACACTTCGTCGCGATCCTGATGGCGCGCTGGGACTCGTAATTGCGCATGAAAAGAATTTTCCTTCGCCAGCGATGTTTGTAAGGGAGGTRACCCCAGGAAGTCCCGCGGGAAGAGGGGGTATCCTCGAAAAAGGTGAGTCTTTCTCAGTTTATCCAAATATGTTGAATTTTGTTTATATTGTTCTATATATTTCTCACGTTTTGAGAGGGTTATCAGCTGTTGATGACTCATATTTTTCTTCTTTTAAAACAAGAAATAGAGGATATTACATGGGCGCGCGGAGATACGGATTTTATCTTCGAGTGTTGAAAAGATTTTCAACACGAGAAGATAAAATTCGTATCCCCAAGCGAACATGTAATATTCTATTTATCATATAATTTTATATGAAAACAAAATATGTCGTAAAATACCTTTTTTTCTTACTTGCATTATTTAGCGAAACCTCGAATGTGTTATTTTCACTAGTGAAAATATCAATTTTACAAAATAGGGAAATATAGGTATTTCATAGATAATTATATGATAAAAAATCTTGACTTATAACTAATTGGCACGTCTGTCCGTTTAGGATATATCTGATTGTCAGTTATGTAACTTTTTCATTTTCTCAATGTAGTACATTTTTATTCTGTGTTTGATAGTGCCGTAAGAAAGAACAAAACAAAACTGACCAATAAATTATCACCAAGTAAACATAGGAATAGTAACACATTCGTATTTTCCAACAGGTGATGAGATTGTCGGCATCAATGGACAAGGACTCAAGGGGATGTCCCACAAAGATTCAATGGAACTACTGACAACCCAAGGGGAAGCTCTTAACTTAACAATCGTCAAAGACTCTTACAATAAAAAAGGTCAGTGTTAATGCTGCCTCAAGGTGGCTTCTCACAGTCTTCTTTGTTTTTAATGCCTCGTGGCACAGAACGTTTTCCAATATTTTTCACATGCCTGCTGCAGCCTTTGCACGTCCAATGGCCGCCATCCTGCGTCTTTCCTGTCACTTTACACTATCCTCTCTTTCTGAGTGATTGCTGAAGTTTCCCTGGTGTGCCGGGTGTGTTTTTCACCACTTTGACTCAATGCGATTTCAACTTGATTGATATTGATATAGCAGCGTAAAAATGTTAAAACAAAGTTATCCGATAAGGATTTTTTTGACGGTATCTTTAATTTTCGATGACCTTCAAGAAATATCTTTTAATAACCGTAGATTGATGCACTATAGAAAGTGATATAGCCAGGCCATTTTAAATTACCATTTTACGAGAGGGTGCAATGAAGCCAAAATTGATTCACTAAAGACTACACTAAACATCATACAGAACTCAAATAATGTTGAGTCATACAAATAAAAAGCTTTTCGAAATATCTGTTAGATGTATGCTGTATTACCCCTGTCCATTTTATGTGCTCCAGAAAAATTTCCCGCGCATGCTCTCCCTGGTTACGCGATATATCTACTCATTCTGTTTAATCTTTAAAATCACCACACCTCGAAAAAAGAAAAAGAAAAAACCGCTCAAAATAATAAATCATTCCTTTACTTGTGTTCTTAGCTGACATGTGCGGATTCAGCAATTCTCTATATGTACCAAAGGGCAAAATATCAGCTGAAGGTCCAAAAGGGAAAATACCTGGTGGATCTCTTGAACCAAAGGCTAAATCTGGCCTTAGCTGCTGCGGTTCTCCCAAAACAAAGGGAGAATCCGACTATGGCTACGAGTTAGAATCGCGTGGAGCTGACATAGATGTTTCAGGAAAGCCAAAGTCACATGTCATTGACATGGGAGGGGGCGGTGGTTTTTCCAATGAAGGCTACGATGGTCCAGATGTTAAGGTTAGTATACCACAAAGGATAATTTCAACATGTTGAAACGATTATTATATAAGAGTGACCTGCGCAGACTTTTATCATCGAAGAAAACATGGCTCAATTACGATTACCATGAATTGATTTGATATGAGAAATGMATATCATGATCGCTGTGAAAGCAATTTTAATAATCACTGACAAACAAATTAAGTAACAATAATTTCTTTTATAAAAAGTTCTATAATGATTTTAATCATACGGATGATTGCAATAATCACACTAAGATAACCGTTATAAGAAAATTGAAATTGTTACATCGATTATGCTAATGATTACGATCTCAACCAGATTCAAAAAGATATCGACGTCAGAGCTACAGCACCTGGGGTTAAGAGTCGAGAGTTTGAAATTCCCAACACATCAGGAGACGCATCCATCCATGGTCCAAAGGGATCTTTTGAAGGTCCTAGAATATCTGGAAAGCCTTCATCGCACGTGATTGACATGGGTGGCAATGCAGGATTTTCAGGCGGAATTGAGTCACCGGATGTTTCTGGTCAAAACGTGGACATTCCATATCTAGTTGGTGTAAGTAGAAATACACAGTCTAATCTATTGATCTTAAATTGGAAATATTGTAGAATTTACTATTGCTGACTTAGCTTTAGACTTTGGACTTTGCAATCCTATATATATAGCCGTTTATAGATAAACGAGACAAATATTGCTGGTGTGGACTGCATGATATGATGTTAATTTTTTTTGATAAGACTGTGGACTTCGTTGAAACAAGACCCAAGTAATTCATTACTGTGATATACAAACCCTGAACTAGTAGACTTCAAAATTGGACGATGCCGACGGATATTTGTCGAATAAGTCTCACTCACGAAAGGTTTTCACATTACAATGCAAATCAGTCATACGTCTTCCAAAGAGTAAACATTAGAAGAAGCCAATTCTGAGTGACCGACAATCTCTATACCAAACATTCTTGCAAAGATACATAATTTCAAAACATTAAAAGATATGTCGGTTGATTTTTTTCAGTTCCTTTCCTTACAACAATTAAAATAAATTTTCATACTTTTTGCCTAAACGAGTTTAATTTGAAGGGGCCTACTCATTTGATAAGTATTCATGTACGTGTTTGACTAAAACATTGTATCGACAACCACCCAAAATATCCAAATTTAATGTTGCTTGCCCGTTAAAAGAGCGAATGGCTAATTTGGATTTAGGTATGAAAGCCATCATGGCGGCTAGTAAATAAGATGATCGACTTTTTAGTCACTTTGCGAAATCTTCCTGGCCATCATGTAGATATTCAAATTATTTGTTGATCGTTATTTCAGCCTGTCGTTGACACAACTATCAACAAAGGCGATAATGGTGCATTAGACGTTCATATTGCTAAAGAGCCAATGTTTCCCAGTCCTGCGATGTTTGTCAGAACTGTCCATAATCCCTCAAAGAAGATCGGAGTAAAGCAAGGTAAATCACTAATAACTTAGACTTGTAGGATGTCGGAATGTCAACAACAATGAAGGAAAAAACGTTCTCATCTTTGAGAGAAAAAAAGTGTAGAATTATCGATAGATAGACAGATAGACACATTGGCAAAACGGCAGAACAAAAGTCGACCTAGTCTATGGTTAGCCTTACACTAAAACGTTTTGGGAATTCATCCTAACTATATGATTWTCATTATTTTACACCAGGGGATGAAATAGTTACTATAAATGGGAACTCAATAAAAGGTAGAAGTTTTGAAGATTCAATGAACATGATTAGAAGAGTACCTGGAAACAAAGTCAACGTGGGTGTGGTCAGAAACTCTCACAGTATCAAAGGTAAGCTCTACTAAACTCATTGGTGGAATTGATGCTTTTGTTTTCAACACCTGCTTGGTGTGAAAATGGGATAAGATTTCTGTGTTTCTGGCTGCTTAATGGCGTCACCTAGTAAATCACGGAAAAAGCTACTATCAAGCAGGCGGGAGATAAAAGTGGTTATCTTCCGTGTATCGTAGCGTTGTTGCTTTAAGCGTTTGGGAATGAATATTAGTTAATTTTCTATATTTTTTTGAATATTTGTTAATATTTTTTCATTGTTTACCAGCAAATATGAAATATAAACGCGACGGAGTACGTCCACCAAACCTCAGTGCACCAAAACCAAAAGTAAAAGGAGGATCTAGCTGTTGCGGTTCGTCAAAAACAAAAGATGAAATGGACTATGCTTATGGAGTCGACGGACCGGAAGGGCAAGTGTCGGCTGGAGGAAACACAAATACAAGGGGCCCAAAAACAAATATTAAGAAAAAATCAAAAGTCCAAGGAGGAACTAGCTGTTGCGGTTCGTCAAAAACAAAAGGTGAAATGGACTATTCTTATGGAGCCGACGTACCCGAAGGACAAGTGTCGGTTGGAGGAAACACAAATATAAGGGCCCCAAAAGGACATATAAAAGATTCCGATGCAAATGTCAGAGGACCTGAATACTCTGGATCGATCGATGGAAAACCCAAAAAGAAACAGGGAGGTCTAGCATGTTGTACCTCATCAAACACCACAGATGACAAAAACTTTGATTACAGCGTTCCTTCACTCAGTGGGCCTTCGGTAGGAGGAGATATCAGCGAATCAGATATTAACATTCAAGGCSCAAGCATCAAAGCACCAGATGGACGATTTTCCTCAGGAATGGATAACCCATCATTTGACACAAATGTCGATGGTCCAGATGTAGATCTCAGGGCACCAAAAGGTCCACAGGTTGATATACCACTCAGGAGCGGAGATTTTGATCGTCCAGAAGGACCACGAATACAAGGGCCTAATTTAAAGTACAAAAAGCCTGACGTTAGCCTACCTGATTGGAAACTGAAGAAAAAAGGCAGTGCAGATTTCGATGGACCTGACGTGGATATAAACGGACCAGACATTGAAGGCCCTGATATTGATGCCGATGTGCAAGGTCGTAATATCGGTGCAGATGTTGACATAGAATCACCTGGTGGAAAAGTCAAAGGACCTGCTGGATTCAAAGGACCCAGTTGGAAGTTCAAAAAGCCTGACATTAACTTACCTGATTGGAAACTCAAGAAAAAGGCTGGAGCAGATTTTGATGGGCCTGACATCGATGTAGAGGGACCAAATGTTGATGGTCCTGACATTGATGCTAATGTGCAGGGTCCTGATATCGATGGAGATGTGGACATAGAATCCCCTGATGGAAAAGTCAAAGGACCGGGCTTCAAAGGACCCAGCTGGAAATTCAAGAAACCTGACATTAATTTACCTGATTGGAAATGGAAGAAAAAGGGTGATGCCGATTTCGATGGACCTGATATCGACGTAGAGGGACCAAACGTTGATGGCCCTGACATTGATGCTAATGT